TGATTGAGAGAGAGAGAGAGAGGATTATTTTATCAATTTAGACTTTTTTATATGTGTGTGTGTGTGTGTGTGTGTGTGTGTGTGTGTGTGTGATTGAGAGAGAGAGAGAGAGGATTATTTTATCAATTTAAAAATATATTATTTACCGTAATATATTAATAATATATTATAGAATTGAATGTATTACATTTTTTAATTAAAATGAATTCAGGACACAGAACATACAAGCGTAACTAGTCAAAAATTATCCAAATCTTTCAGTGTTACTGCAAATATGACAACAAAAAGCTAAATCAATATATAAAGAAAAGTAAAAAATATAAAATAAATCATATCATATAAAAGCCATCAAATTATGTGATGGGCTTTGGCAGCAAATTATTTCTGTGGAATATGCCATTGATGAACCGTCACCTGAAGAGACAAATAAGAGAGTGCAAACAATTAAAAGAAAGTTGATGTCACAGCAGAATAAAGTTTGTCATTTCGTGCCCCTAAACTGTTTGCCGAAATGGTGTGAATGGCTAAAGCCTCTTTAGCCAGCTGTCATAATTTGTTAACGAGGCCTTTCAAAAAAGCAGAATGATAATGAGAGGACAGAAAAAAGAGACAGGCAGCGAGAGAGGGTAGAGGGGGTGCCCTTCATGAGTGACTGTGGAAGCGGAGAGTCGGTCCCCAGGGAGCCGGGTCGGGGGGGACAACATCAGACCGATTTCAGCGCAGCAACATGATGGCATCTCTGACGTTTTAATATTAATGAGAGCGAGCTCCTCGGCCCGGCCTGCCAGCACTCGCAACAGGTGCCTCTCTCCTGTCCCGCTGACGATAACACCTCTAAGTCTCAGGAGGAGCTCTGGGCCTTAAAGAGAGGGAGGGCAGGCAGAAAGGGAAACGGAATGAGTTAAGTCATCCATTTAAAAACTTAGACGATGAGGGGAGAAAGGAGCTCTCTTTTAAAGTCACCTCTCACGAAGCCGAACCATGAGGTCTCGATATTTCTCCTCTTCTCCCAAACCCCCTTGAGAAAGAAATTGACTTTTGTTTGGAGTTTGTGAAAAGTGGGAATCAGGAGAACGACAATGGGGCTCCCCATGGAGAGGACCCAAGTGAAGCCATCTCAAATCAGTCAGCCAAGGGACCAATTAATCCGGCCATTGTCAGGCCCAAGCCACTGCCAGCACATCAACACATTCAGAGCCTATTGTCCCGACCCTCCTGCAGTAGGATTTAGTCCGTCCAACAGCCAGTTTTGTCCAGGCCAGCTCAGGCGGAAGTTTCTCACTGACAATTTGCCCCAAATAGATTTGTCAGAAAGCGTCCATCGACCTGCCAGTTAGACAGGGCGAGGTTGTGTTCGGCTTTTATTACTATTATTATATTTTGGAAATGTAGGCAGCATAATGGGAAAATACTACAGGTGTGTGCAGAAACGTTTGTGTGACATTCTAACCTCATGTAAGGTGCGAGATGAAATGAATATGGTAATTGCTAACACATGGAATGTGTGTTTGTATGTATATAATTAAATTTGATGTCAGGTCTCTTTAATATTAAAACATCTGTGTATGTGAATCCAAAAGGTTTATCAAAGGGTGAAATATGGGGTTCATTTTACAGTAACTGAAAGAATAAGAAAATGATTAAGATGATGATTATTCATACATCATACTTGCTATGGGAAGATAGATATTTATATTTATTAAAATATAATTTCCCTTAAAATACTATATGGACTATCCCGTCCTAATTTCTCTGTACAAACATTATTGCATAAGAATTTTCAATGATAGTTATGAAATTGCTAATGTTATTATATATATATATTTTTAGTTTTTTTAAATCGTGTCAAATAGGCAACAATCTGAATGGCAGATAATATCTAAAACAGAATAATACAAAAAAATCCCTTTCTATTTAGTGAGAACTTTTTTTGAGTATTCAATAAAAAAAAAAAAAGATTTTACATGTAAATACAAAACAGTTTAACAGACATATTTCTATCAGAAACAAATATTCTATACACCATACACATATAGGACGTGGTTTAAGAAAACATGTTTTGTATATACCTCAGTTAAAATAATTAAATAAAACTGCTTTTTTTTTCTTAGTGGCCCAATAATAAGAGGTCAGTTTTTAATTCCTTAATTTAGTAATTAATTTTCAGTTTTTAATTAAGTAATATATGGTTTGATCAGATTTGCCTTTTTGCTAAGAGGGTACTCAGGAGGTTTTTTTATATCTAATGTCAATTTATTTCTTCCATTTTTTTAAATATATTACAAGTTCCCGTCCTCATTTGATAGTAGTTTCTTTCTCTATAAGTCAGGAACAGAAGTGCACTGAAAGTGTCATCGGCAATCCGCAACTTTTTTTCTGATTTGATTCTGCCTCATACATGTGCTCATCTCAGAACAAAGTGCCAACACAGAAAAGTCTTTTGCAACATCTCCAACATGCTGTTACAGGAGTGGTTAAGGATAAGAGATGGTGTTGCTGTCCCTCTCCACTTTAAGGGCTAAGTAAGCAGTTGCATACTGATTCTGTCAAGCCAACAACTAGATACACAATCAGATGGTTCTTTGTCAGAGATTTTCATTGACTGTTATTGAGAGGAGAGTCACAAGCACAAAAAGTGAAAGCAAGCAGCCGGGGCAACCATGATGTTGGTTATGTTTGTGTAAAGACTATCTATGAATGACAGGATTAGGGCGAGTTAAGCAGATTACTACGAGCAGACCACCCCAACACACACACACACACACACACACACACACACATATAAACACACAGATAGCGAAAGTGGGAAATGAGAAAGAAAAAGAGAGATGGGACAGAAAAAGTCTGATTTGTCCACAATCATATGCATGCATTTTTAAAATGAACATGATGCTCTTAACATATCATATAGGCTTCATTTCATTAATCATTTTGATTTAATCACTCACGGCCTAGAGTTTGCTAGTGATGTCCACAGAGATATGGGTCTTACTTTGACACTGTTTTTCTCAGTCTGGCTCATAAGGTCCTGAAAAACGCACATTTGAATGTGCAGTCATTCACCTGTCAAAAATCCTAATTTCTTTTCAGTGCACTGAGAACACCGTTTAAAGGAGGACATGACAATCACTAATTGCGATTAGATACGCCCCCGTTCGCCACGTTTAGACCGAGATTTAGGGCTCCCATATGGCCCCGAGCTACCGTGGGAATGTTCATAATTAAACCTAAAATATGGGTGTCTACTGGCGGCGGCCACAACACGGCACGCTGTTAAGGTCAAGATGTCATTGCGCACACTCTCAAAGAGGTACAGTTGTGATTCTCCCAGTCCACGAGGGAAACTCGCACGCATGTGTCCCCTCTGAAACACAGCGCGCACTTGATTTTACAGCGATTTCCCGTTTTGTTTCCACTTATAAGCAATTTAACCGAGTCTGCGGTGAAATGTATTCAGCATTTAAGGCTAGTACCAAAAAAAAGTAATAATAATAATAATCTTTTTCATATAGGCTAGAGCTCATTAGAGTATAGGTAAATCTAAATATATAGACGTAAAATCATTATACACTCTTAAAAATAAAGGTGCTTCACGATGCCATAGAAGAACCTTTTTGTCTAAATGGTTCCATAAAGAACCTTTAACATCTGAAGAACCTTTCTGTTTCACAAAAGGTTCTTTGTGGCGAAAGAAGGTTCTTCAGATTATAAAAAGGTAAGAAAGAGATGGTTCTTTAAAGAACCTTTGACTGAATGGTTCTTTGTGGAACCAAAAATGGTTCTTCTATGGCATCGCTTGAAGAACCTTTTGAAGCACCGTTATTTTTAAGAGTGTAGAACTGTTTATTTATGGCTACATGTTTAGACTGGGTCTCATAAATAAAAATTAACTCAAAGAATTAACTTCGCGACCACACGACAAAGAGACGTTGCATTCAAGAGGTTTGTTTAAATTATGAGCAGTGCAAAAGATACAATTAATTTTCATTAAAAAAAAAATCTCGAAAAAAAAAAAAACTTGTAATTTGAAAGTTTTATGTTACATACTAGGCTATACAAAGAAAGAAAATGTTGCCTATCTAAAACCTAAATAAAGGTTTTAAGTATAGATCTATAAATATAACAAAGGATGATTTAGATGTGATCTACGAAAAAGTAGGGGGAAAACGTGCAGGCGAACAAATTACAGTGTTAAATACACATTTAACACAAACCAGCAACATTTATTATATAGTAGCCTACATAACATAGGCCACATTTACCCGTTGATTCACTCTTAAAATGCAACAAACATACACTTACAAAAAATCCTCTAATTTTCAAGCCGTGCGTGAAAACCTGGCAAGATGAGAGAGCGATGTGAAACACTTTGGGCTCGATCTCTTTCCTGCAGTCAAAGCAACAGGTGCACGCGCGAGAAGGAAGGATCCGGGAAGTGCGACAGAAAGTAAGTTCGTTGCAAAAAGAAAAAGTGATCATGTTTCTAAGGGTTATTTAAATAGAATGCTTTAAACTGTTTACTACGGTCTGGGAGCAGTCAGGTCACTGAACTCTCCGAGGATGGAAATGTGTTCCTACTCAGTGGCAAACGTTTGCTTCGGTCATTTAAACAGCCTTTCTGATCCTAATCAATTCCTATAGAGCGCACCAGTAGCCTCTGACAGTGTCTGACTCAGTGTGTATGGAATATCACTTCATCCGTCCCCGTGACGTCATGCGCGAGCAGGAGTTGAAGCAGAAGGCAGGGAAAAGCTAAGTGGTCAAAGGAAGTTGGGCTCTCCTCCCACCCTCCCTCCCTCTCTCCCGCCCTCCTACTCTAATACATCTCATACATATTACCAAACCTTTAATCTGACGGTACACATCACAAAGTCACTCACCAAGGCTCCGGGCTGAGACACATTTCCCAGCTCATGTTGTACTTTTTTACAGTGCTGGTTTTTCCATTAGTTGCACCAAGTTTCCGTGGCGCTGAGAGACCAGGGACCGGTTTGGGCATATATTGTCTGTGCAGGCTGCATCCATCGCATCAGTCAACAGTCAAAGGAAATCTGGATTCTATTTGCTGAAAAACAAGAGGAGCGACTTGGACACAATCAAAGAAAACTCCCAACAGAAAGCAGAGGACCAGTTGTCCACCGCAAACCGGATGTTAATTTTGTGCTTGTAATTTTTTTTAAACCAAGTCAAACGTGTTAAGACTCCCCTGGGCCTGAAAGGTGTAACTTTTCAACGCAGTTTTCTTGGAGCAGAGGTCTTCAACATGAGCAAGCCTACTGGTTCAACAAGTGGTTGTCTGGATATTTTAAATGTCAAATCCAGTGAGTAGATCGTCTTTCTTTACTTTCGAGATATGTATGTTGTTTGTTAGAATAGCGTGATGGCGAAGCAAAAACGCAGTCTCTTTTTGTTTACGAAATAAGTGAAAGTAAAATTATTGCTTGTGGGTTAAGATGACAAAAATAACGTATACTCCATAGAGCTGTACAACGCAAATCGAAATGTTTACATGCTGTCAAATTGTTGCCTATACCTCTTAGACTGATAGCACCATAGCCCAAAACAAACAAGGCAAAACACTCTATAAACCATTCTTTGTATACATCTTAGATGTGAAAATGCACAAAAATAAATAAATGCATAAGTTCGCATTTAGTGATGCTGTTACGCTGCTGAGAATGTTTTAACAGCCTTATCCCCCGTTACGCTTTGCAAATAAGTTGTGCGTGCACATTAAGACTACAAAAAATTGAATACTAATTCTAAGGTACCAGCCTGTACAGTTTTAAAATAACAATGTGGTCCTAAGGTATGCGTAAGCTATGCATAATGTGTCATCAAAGCAGATCTACTGAGTTTTCCTTATTAGGCATTCTTTTGAATTTCAATTAATTTCAAGGTAAAAAAAGAATGCAAGTGCCCTGAAATTCATCTGTAATAAATGTTTTCTGTCAATTGGTTATTTTATAATTGCAGATAACATTCTCAAAATTGTCTAACTGGAAACATTTCTTGAAATATGAAATACTGAGTGTGATATGCCTGTAATACGCTTGTGGTGGTAAAAAAAATGTGCGCCTCTATTTAACTTTTTACATTAGGCTTAACTGAAAATGAAAAACACAAATAGTGTTAAAGGTTTCTAAAAGTTTAAGTGGCTTCAAATGAAAGTGAAAAAGGCAATACAATTCATTCAAGTGAAAGGCAAAGAAAATAAGGTAATCCAATCACAATTTTTAAAGCACACTGAGTAATGATTTCTAAATAACAAAACTTAACATATTTTAGATTTAACACAATTTTTAAATCTATCCCAGAATTTTATGAGTAATTTTTTATAAATATGAAATTTGTAAGGAGTAATTTATTTAGCACCGGTGAACAAGTGAATTAATTTCGTTGAGGCCTAAACTTTTCGTTCATTATTTTGAATGGCTACCACAAAAAAACTTTTTGACGACACTTTACATGTAGGCTATTTGACTCAGGTGTAAAATGAAAAAAAAAAAAAAACTCAGGTGATATTTGATATTCACATGAGTATTATATAAAATATATATATATATTTGTTTTACTCACTTGTTTTACAGGGGTGAAATTGCGGCACTGTTTGGGTGGTCGAAGGCCCATTAAGTTCAGAGTTTCTCACAACTGCACGTAATCCAGTGCAGCAGGTCCCAGGGTTGATGCTGATTACAGTAATGAAATATGCCATGTCTTTAAACAATTACTGCGCACAATGCAACAGACTGGGACCCCCGCCGTGGAAAGTTAAAGACGTGTTCCCTTCTCTAAAACAAATCCGCCTTCAATTCATATGAGTTTCTTACCAACTTACCAGTGTGTGTTGTCAAATTATGCCATGATTGAAATAAAAGCTGTCTGGTTTCATGGGTTTAGTTCCCACATAAATAGGCATAAAATCGCAGAAACAAAAATTCTTAATCAAAACATTATTTGTAAATGCACTTCAAAAAGCAGGCGTTCTAACTTCAAGCGCTTTAT